AAACAATGATACCATATTTGCCTATTCTAATTATAGCGGATTTGGCGTTATTCATTTTTTTTTAATTTTTAGTCGTCGCGCCGGTAGGCATTTTCTTAAAGTCGACTGTCTCAGGTACTATTTCTGTTGGATACTTGAAATTTTAGCCAGAAGTAGTAGATGGGATGTACTTTTAAAAACATTTACAGTTTTCTGCAACAAAATATGTCGTTTAAAAAGTTTAAATTTTTTTAATGATAAGGTACCTACATACTAACTAAAAACAATTTTTATTAAAAGCACATGGTTTAAAAAAATCATTTTATCGAATGTTCAAAATGCCCCCCGTTAGCTTCTAAACATTTTAACAATCTTTTTTTCAACATGATTAGTTGTTGCTTTACGAATCATTTCACCATCTAACTCGTTAAAGGCATTCCGAACTCTTTGCTCTAATTCTTCTTTAGTATTAATTTGGGTAGAGTACACTAAATTTTTAATATGACCCCATAAAAAAAATCAACAGGAGTTAGATCTGGCGATCTTGCAGGCCAAAGCCAAGGACCATTTGGACCTATCCATCGGTCTTCAAAGAGTGCTGTAATTTCTTGATTTACATAGTATGTTGTATGTGCTGGGGCACCATCCAACTGGTACCAAAAATTATTATTTGGTACCAAAAATTATTATTTGGTAGCTGGTTTAAAATGTCGGCAACTACTTCTCTAAGAATTCTAATGTATCTTTCTGAGGTCAGTCTTTCATTATAAATGTAATAAAAAGCTCTTCCAAAACCGATCACTGCAAACACATTAAAACTAAATTCGTACTGAAATTGTGCTTCACGATAAAAATGTGGATTTTCGTTTGCCCAGAAATGACATTGCTTGCGATTGATGATCCCTTTACTTGTAAATTTCGACTCGTCTGACCACAAAATTTTGTTTAAAATCTCGGGATCTTCTTGAATTCGTACCAATAACCATTCGCATAATTCAGTTCGTCTTATTTGATCACCATCTCGCAACTCATGAACTTTTCTTTGTGCATAGGGATGCCATTTATTTAGTGCTAAAATTTGTTGTATTGACCCTCGACTAATATTTAAATTATCTTGAGCCATTCTAATGGAGGCGTGAGGATACGCAGTAAAATACCCTAATACGTTAATTAGTTTAACTTCTTCATCTCGGACATAATGTTGACGGTTTCTTCCCGAGTTTTGTTTAAAATTATTCAAAAAGTTAGCTTCGATTCTATCAAATTAGTGTCTGTTCATTGGTGGTAAATGAGGGTATCGTTCATTAAACATGCGGCAGGTTCTACTTTTGATTCGATTACATTCTCCATGAATGTAAAATAAATTAAGAATATCTTGGTTGGTATATTCTTCAATATTTTCCATATTTTCCATATTTTGAACGCAAAAAATACACAACTTAAATACATAGAAATATGACAATTCAGTTTGTTGACAGATTGTTGGTTAGCATATTTCCACGGCATACTAAGATAAAAAATTAAAATGTAAAACTATACTATATTATGTAGGTGCATGCGTAAAATTTAAATTTAAATTTTCCTAAAATTGGCGAGAGATAATTATAGGGAATTAATAGTGCAAATGAAGATCAATAAAGAATAATTTTCTGAACAAAATGAAATAAAAATATACAGGATTTTCCATTTAAAATAAAAAAAAATTTCATGTTTAAAATATTTATTTTTTAAAATAATTTCCAAACACACAGTCGAACAAACGATGTACAAGTAAATTTAAAAAAGCAAATGTCTGCCGGCATATAAAAGTTTATAAAAAACTGAATAACGCCAAATACACTATAATTAGAATAGGCGACTGGAGTATCATTGTTTACAGAATTTCATGCTGAATCTAAAATTTAAAAAATATATAGGGTGTTCAATTTAAAATAAAAAAGTTTTTTATGTTTAAAAAATTTCATTTTTAAAAATAATTTGCAAACACCCCGTACAACAAATAATGAATAACTAAATATTCTCAAGAAGTACATCCCATCTACTACCTCTGGTTAAAATTTTAAGTATCTGATAGATATAGTACCTGAGATAGACGACTTTAAGAAAATGTCTACCGGCGACTAAAAATGTAGAAAAAAATTGAATAACGCCAAATCCGCTATAACTAGAATAGGCAAATGGGGTATCGTTGTTTACAGAATTTCATGCTGAATCTAAAATTAAAAAAAAAATATGGGGTGTTCCCTTTAAAATAACGAAGTTAGTGGTCACTTCCGGTATAACCGGAAGTTGCACAGAGTTCATTTTATTTTAATTCAAAAGAGCATATTCGATTATGTATACTCAGAAAATGGCGAAAATACAAATTAATTTATTCTCTATAAAGTTGTAATGCCCGCCTTACGTGGGACACGGTGTATATACTGTGCTTATACCTTCCATAAATAGTTTATATTCTATTTTTTTTATTTTCCTAAAAAAAATCATGAAGTAATACACCCTATAAAACATTATTGGCCTTCATAGCGGATAAATCAATAATACCTATATAAAATAATGTAAGAGAATCAAACAGATTGCATACATTTCATCCCTGAGAGAGACGCATCAGTCAAGAGACTGCTTCCTTTCCTGTAAAACCATGACATCAGTAATTGTTTATTGTTATATTTTTGTTAATTTAATAGTTACAAATATAAGGAAAGCCCTCTTACCTTGTCAATACACAGGCGAAACTTTTATGAAGAATATTTTTTTTCGTTTAGGCCTTCGTTTTTCGTCAAATGAAAGGTATGTTTCTAAAAGAAGATTTTTTAACCAAATTTGTCGACAGCCAAAATAAGTTTTAATTCACATCATACTTATATTGTAAAATACATATTATTTTGTGCTCTTGCGGAATATTTTTCGGTTCCTTTGTCTCAACTTCGCGCGGTAAAGTTTAGAATATGCATCCCTCGTATCTACATGCAGTTGTTAAAATTATGAATGAATGCTGATTTTGTTTAGTTTCCGAAGTAATTTTGTAGTATTTAGGCTCCACCCTTAAGTTGTAATTTTTATACCTACTAAACTACCGTTGCCCCGCAGGTCTTTTAGTTTGTAATGTAAATTTTCCTCTTTTAAGTTAAAAAGAGTGCCACTGTCACAAAACTCTCATACGCATATCTTGCGCGTAAAAAATTGTATGTATCACTTTTTTCCTTGAACATCCATCATCATTCTTTCAGACCTTAATCTCTATATTAATTAAAAAATATTTATTTATTTATTTGCGTTTGACGTTCATCGATTACACCACGACAATCATATTAATTTCAATAAATGTATTGTTTGATCGAGTCATATTTTAATTTATGTAACCTTACAGTTTTTTTATTTATTTATAAGTTATTAGTTTTTATTTATAACAATAGGAGCAAACTAAGAAATCAATTAAGTGATTAATAGCAATTACAACAAAGCGAATAAAGTTTATGCAGATCATGCGTAATTAAGTAATTATCTAAGTCAATCAGCGGCGTAACTGCAATAATACGAAAAGAACTTCTTTACATTTACGTCTTATATCTCAAGCAGTATTTTTCTATATTGTAGAGACATCTTATTGAAAATAGGTTCAACTTGTTGAGGCTTAAAATTTTGAGTACTTAGGAAAGAATTCCTCCGGTTCTCTATCTTTATCTGAATTAAGGTGGAAGGAAGTTCCAACTAGAGTTTATGATCTTCTTTACTTACCTATTCCATTGGTACTCATTTAACATGTTGATACGATATACCACATGTGGATTCTGGTCCAGCTAAGAAGTCTGCTTTCTCATTTATCACACTCTATCATGGTATCCATTTTAGCTGAGCCTATTATCTTCTTCCAGATCTATAAGGAACGTTTGTCTCTAAGACAGTCATTAGCGTAATCTGAGTACACACATTTATTATTGTTTTAATTTTTATAATATTCTGTAGCATATTTTTCATGAATGATTTTATCTTTTTCCACCTCATATGTGGTGGAGGAAGACCTAATAGTAGCTCCCTTGCAGCAGTGAGCGTATTTCTAAAGGCTCCTGTTAATATTAGCCAGACCAGTATTTGCACCTTATTTAATTTTTTGCTTGTTGTTGTTTTTGGCCTTGTACCACCATATGACTAATGAGTCGGTTACAAGGGGTACTACAACCTTAGTAAAAGGTCAGTGCATCATACTTTACTATCGTTCTTTACCATTATAGCTTTCTAGTTCTAGATGAATGATTGAATTTGTCTTCTATATGTTTTAAGATAGACCTAATCCGGTGAGTCTTGTACAAGTAACCTGTCACTCATGATAATTGTGGAAGTTTCATCAAAGAGAGTAATGCTTTCTTGACTTAAAAGGAATTAACAAAGTCTTAAAGTAGTAATGCATAATTTCACGATTGTGACAAGTCGAGTTTTATCCTGTTTTTACAAACCAAACCAATTGAACCATGAGTAGACAATAGGTAGTGGTAATGTGCTTTTTCTTATCAACATTTCTCAAACCATGTTGGTATAATAGACTTTTCAGTACATTTTCCGCATTTATTATCATAATGTCCAAATGGGATAGATATTATTTATAGATTAAAAGATCCTCTAGACCAACTACACTTTTAATTTTTTATTTATTTGAAGAAGAGCTATAGTAGGTTTGACCGTCTATTCACGCAGAAATCACCTGGGTAGCTATTCTTGAATTTGAGGGAATAAGAAACCGGTTTTTTCTCCTTATCTGCATCACAAAATTTGTATTTTTGTCTCATTTTTCCCTCAAAATTCCCTACTCTCTGAGATTCAAGATTAGCGACTCTGGTATACAAACGACTCTAAACCACATGAATATTCAGGAGTAGCTTTATACAGTACCAAGCCCAGGACAATTTAAAAAATCGTAGGCATCAAAATGTCTGTATATTGTGAGTGATTTAATCCGATACGCTACTGAAAGTAATTAGATTTTTATAAAAATATGTAGCAGTTTTCTCCCACTTGCAAATATCTGCATAAGGATATAAATATTCGCCCCTTATTTAATCATAGTGACAAGTTTAATATGAATACCATTGTTGTTTTCCTATTCGCTTTTGCGGCAGTGGTTTTAACCAATGCTGAAAAATATACGACCAAATATGACAACGTAGATATCGATACAATAATAAAAAGTGAACGGCTATTGAAGAATTACGTAAACTGCCTTCTGGATAAAGGAAAATGTACTTCTGATGGCGCTGAATTAAAACGTGAGTATCAATAATTTTGTATATTTAACTCATAGAAATAGTATAGAAAGCCGATTCCATATATCAAAAATGAAACCATAAGGAGAAAATAGTGTGTCGGAGCTCATGCGTATAACGGTGCTGGCGCGAACAGGACCGGTGCAAGTTTTTTATTGATCGAACAAATAGTTCGCACGATATTTCAATCATACATTTTTAGAGATGATTCTATACAAAAAACGATTAAAAAAATTTCAAGTTAAGGTAAATATGGTTCTGACAGTCCTTATTAAGAAAGATATGGCATAAAATATGAATTAGTTAATTTTCGGCAATCATTAGTACAGTAGTCATGAGATTTTGCTTGTGATTTTAAAAATACTTTCCAGAAAAACCACGTGCTCCGGTTTTGACTACGTTTATTATTAAACAGCGAAATTATATACAAAAACTTTAATCCACAATCTAAATTAGGTACTATCACAAGAAAATCACTGTTACAATAATTAATTACTTAACCAAAAACTAAAATACTTTTTAGGTACCTACGTAACCAGGGCGTCGATTCTCGACTTTTATTCCCATGGGAAAATAAAATTTTCCCATGGGAATTCAGTTTTCGTATTCTCGGCATAAGCGGTGGAATATTTTCCAATGAGAAGTATGGGAAAATATTCCCCTGCTTACGAGCATTGGAAATTGTGTTTTCCAATGGGAATTGTACTAGAGTTTGCGCATTAAAGTCGAAAATTTGACGAAAGACCACGCGAAAGACTAAGACATAGCCAAAGATTATTGGATATCTTGGATTTTTGGTGAAATTCTAGTTAAAACATTTTTTTGGTGTATTTATAAATTGATATTATTTTATTTATGTGGGTATATTATTTTTACTTCTCTTTCACTAAGAAACTGATTTTCTTAAATTAGTTAGAAATTGTGGGAGCTGCTAAGGGACTGGCAAATAGGTAACAATTAAGAAATTTGTAGTAAATTTAATAAGACCTTTTCGAAAATTTTTATTATTTCCGTTAACGAAAGAATTTCTTAGTTTCTCGAAACTTTCGTTGCTCTTATTCTATACAAAAGCTACTTTATCTTTTTTCAATATGTGAAAAGAAAAACTAAAAATAACTCGATAAGTTTTAATTATACATAATCGAATATTTTCACTTGTCCTCGGTCAAGCTAGCGATTGCTCGGCACGGCATCTGCTCCAGCGCAGAGGCTCGGCAGGTAATCGGTTACCCAAAAACCACAACAAATACAAATAATACCAACAGTAAATTTTAAAATATCTTTAATGTTATTGGTTATTTCGAAATATTCGTGAACTTAATATCAGACATACGTGAAACTATTATTTCCATGGGAATGTCTATTCCGACAAGTTCGAGAATTGCATAACCTATTACCATGGGAATATAAGTAGTGGAATCTTTTCCCATGGGAAAATTTTCCAATGAACTCGAGAATCGAGCCCCTGGGGGTCGATTCTCGACTTGTAGGAACCTTTTCCTATAGGAATTTGTGACACTTTCCTGTGTAGGAAAATGTCATAAATTTTCGATGTATATAAAAATGTCAATAATTCCTATAGGAAAATATTCCTACGAGTGGAGAATCGACCCCCTGAAAGGAGCTGGACCATTTATCCTAATATTGATTTTCTCTCTCCCTACGGTAAAACTTAAAACAATAACAAATTGCCTATCTACTAGGGTCGGTAACTAAACGTATATACATATGCTGCGTTTGAGAATCCACATCGGATGCATTTTTTACATCTCGAGCGTTTTTTTATCCACATCGGACACATCTGTCCCATTACATTTACGTATACTGAATCACGTGATCAAAGATTTTTTACATCTCAGATGCATCCGATGTGGATTCTCAAACGCAGCAATAATGGGCGGATTTTGTTTATACTTAACATTACACTCGCGCATTTAAATATAACTATGCATATAAATATTTACAAACAAAGATACTTTTCCAAACAGGCAATCATTAGTACTGTAGTCACGAGATTTTGCTTGTGATTTGACATCTTATTTGATAATATCATTTGCTACAACTAAATTTAATCTGGGGAGTGCAAAATAGGGCCCAGGAATAATATGTTCGATATTTTTTTACATTTTGTCAGCCGAGACTATGAGTCGTTAGACAGAAAACCTTTCATGTTACCATTTTCAATATAAATTAAAAAATTAAAAAATACTACTACATTTACTTGGTACATATTTTATTTTAATTTTGAACCCTTTTAAAAGGGTCTTTCGGTTCCATAATAAAAATTAGTAGCTGCTTACTAGAAACATTTTATATAGCCTAAACCAATTTATAGTTTGTTTTCGATCAATTTAATACAAAGATTTAAAGTTTTTAGTCGATGATAACATTCCACACCAGCACATTGCAAACCTATTTTATAAATAATAGGAATAAACTTGTAAATCATTAATTTGGTAGTTATCTCACTCATATGATTTTTTTGTTTATATGAATATTTCGATTTCTAAATATATTTTGGCCTTACAATACGAAGCGTTTTGTATCTACCACTTTTTTAATGAACGATGAATGTTGACAGGCGTGTACCTTTTTCGGAACAAGAGGCGTTTTAACAAAGGAAATGATTTTCGAACTATCTAGTTAGTTTTCGGAAAAATAGAAAACGTTTGAAGAAAGTTGTCAATAACAGTTTGTCGTTCATGTGTTTCATTTTGATCAGCTTTCATACTAAATTGCGTAGAATATTTTTCCGATTCAAAATCGAGATTCTCGATATTTCCACAGTTTATTTATAATACCTTCTAAACTGGATTTATCTATCATTTTATATACTTTATAATATATGTTCATGCCCTACTTTTCACTTTATTAATAATTTTTTTTTAACATACTTCAAAATGGTAGGATATTCTCAATTCGTTGAAATATTTTTTTATGTATGTTGAGCGATAATTCTTTACCACGTTGCCCGATTTCTAGGATTCTTTTTGTTAGAAAAGGAAACAGTTTTATATACATTAAGTCAAGATCTGAAGATGGGATCCATAAGAAAATCATTAACATCTTTATTTTTAAAGTAGGTTTTTTTTTTAAATTTTTTTAAACCTTACTGGTTCGAACGCCGTAAGGAATGAAGAAATGTAAATAATTGTTGTGCCAGCCAAAAAACGAAGAGGAAGTACCGATTAAAATATCGAGTGACAGAAGAGTTCCTAAGATTGTTGAGATCGGGTTTATGTTTTAAAATGCCTTAAAACCGATATCGATGTCTCCCCGTCGGTGGGCAGCCTGTATATAAATATACAGATCTCTATTTACATAATTATAATTCTTAGGTAGGTTTAGATTTGCAGACATAAATCTTGTAATAAATATAACAGCTGCCTAATACATTGATTACATTTTCATTAGCCAATGTAAAAATGTCTTTTATTGTACCTAGGATTTGACTAAACACTACACAAAACTAAAAATAAAATGCCACTTTCATCGTGTAATTAATGCCGCGTTTGAGAATCCACATCGGATGCATTTTTTACATCTCGAGCGTTTTTTATCCACATCGGACACATCTGTCCCATTACATTTACGTATACTGAATCACGTGATCAAAGATTTACTACTTACTACATCTCAGATGCATCCGATGTGGATTCTCAAACGCGGCATAAATAATAAACTACAAACGGTCCTGTAAGGGCAGCGTCCTATAGCCTTGAAACACCGGATTTTAGTGCTATTGCCAGGTCAATATTGAATTTGTGGGTGAATCGCTTATTGAACATTAAAAATACGGTATTAATGACATTAATACGGTATTTGTATATATTTCTGGGAATGTAATTACACATAAATATTATTAGTTGATTATTTAAATGTTTATAAGTTATTTTGTGGCGATATTTCGTAGATATAAACTGTTTAAATCATATAATTTAAAAATTAATTAATTTAAAATTCTTTTCTGTTAGGTATGTTTAATATATTTGGCAACACTACAGGGACAAGTCATGCTTATTGCGCAAGCTTCTAGACACACTATTTTGCGATGTCAGGCGCAGAGACGCGTTTTTATGCACAGTAGGTTTCAATTTCTGCTTAAATGTTATGTTTATATTGGTCTTCTATATTATTTCTATGATTTAACTAAGGACCGATCTGACTAGCCCTAAATCACAATAGTAGGTAAATTATTGACCGGTTATATTGGATGTGCGTTTGAGGTTACTAGCGAGTGTCGTTAATCTTCCGATAGATTAGCCAATGCTGCGGAGTTAAATACCACAATTTTTCTACAACTGTTATAATATATATAAATCCTGTCGCAGAAATTTATAACAAATACATCCTAAATATTACATATAGCTTGAGAGCTGATGCTTTCGAGTTCTACAACCTATCAACATTTCAGAAAATTTGACGGAAAGCTTTTCCATAAGAAAGGTGCCTGGTTATTTACAAATATCCCATAAAAATTTAAAACCCCATTAACCCGTTTTTCTTCAATTAGTATTTATATCTCTTTTATTTTTATCTTTATCTTTTTCTAGTACATTTATTTCTTCTTCATTTATTATCATTGTAAATTTCCAATTATTCTTCCTTTATTTTCTTCATCTTCCCTCCGGTTTCATCTAACTTCATTACATTCTCATCTAACTTATTTGCATTCTCATTTAACTTCCTTTGTATTTCTCGTTTATTTTCCTCCATTCCCTAATTATAAAATTTGATACATATCCAACACATCAATTTTCTTTTTACACTTCCTAATCTTCTCTTTCTCCCGACCTTTAACTTGATTTTGATCATCTTCCCCATGAACTATCCGTTCTATATTATCCATCTTTGTTCCATTTCTTAATTAAATCTATTTCTTCTATTTTATATTTTACTGTCTAAAGATTTATCAGATTATCTCTCTGTCATACAACAAATACGTAAGGATCAGTATATCACAGTAAAAAACAAATTATCTTACTGATTCTGTAGCTCTGCCAATCTCAGCTGTTATAGAGTTTTCGCACTTCGTATCTTAAGTTTGACAGATCACTAATTTACCAAGGAGCACCGCTTCTAGTTCTATTTGTTTGAATGAGACAGCTTGATTGACATGCCTGAAGTATTGCCTCATTTAATTCTTCAAAATCCTTTTCCAGAGCTAGTTGGTGACTGAACCCCTTTTTAGTCAGGATGCGCCCTAATTTTTTTTAAGAATGTTGTTATAAACTGTTTTTCTAGATAAAAATCAATAATTATTATTGTGTTTATTGAAAATTACAACATTTTTTCTAGGTCTTCTTCCTGATGCACTTCACACAGATTGTACAAAATGCAGTGAAGTTCAAAAGAAGCAAAGCAAAAAAATTATCAGGCATCTTATTGATAATAAACCAGAATGGTACAAGGAATTAGAAGAAATATACGACAAAGATGGAGTTTACAAGGCGAAATATGAAAAAGAAATTAGAGATGCTAAAGAATAAAAAATTAAAAAATGGAAATATATTCTAGATAGTACGATAGTGCGTTCTGTACTATACAGAATGGAATAAATAAATGTCTAATTTCATTGTTTATAAGTTAATTGTTTTATATAATCTCAATTAATTTTATTTTTGTGATTGTTTATAATAAATACATTTTAGAAAGTAAAATTATTTTTATATAAAAATTTTATATATTTATTATTAAATTTAAACCAAATTGTATTCTTCCTTTAAATATAGGGTAATCAACAAAATTGTTTCTAAAGTAGGTCTTGAAAAAAATCGCGCATGTCTGAGCATATAATTCTTCATTTGAAATAATTTATTTAATAATATAGCTAATAATACAGGGTGGGCAAGTATATTTGAACCCATTTTAAATATATATTTTTCAACAAATATCTATGTCATTTGACAACTTTAAAAATAATTATTAGTGTTTTCGGGCATTTGTATTGAAATTTCAGTCTTTTGAAATATATGATTTTTATTATTTCCAGTGGCGGCTCGTTACCCAAATATTGGGGGTTCATAGTGAAAGAATAAAATTCTCAGAACAGATTTAGGTAAAAAATTTGAGTCTTTTAGGAAGTCATAAACATTAAAAGTTTTTACCTAAATCTGTACTGATATCATTATTTTCTCATTGTGAACCCCATTATTTTGGTAACTAGCCGCCACTGTATTTCAAATGGTACATAATCAGAAAGCCTCGTCTTTTTCCTTTCTAAAAATGTAGCATATGTTCGGATTTTAAAAATATACAAAAATATATTTAAATAATAGACTTGATAGGTGTGTTACAGTATAGGGTCAGGAGTTTGAAAATTCATTGAATTAACTTTTTTGTTTAGTTTTGTCCGTTTCCCAAGTAAAATTATTATTTCAAATAAATAATGACTGTAAAGGATGATATCGATTATTTTGAAGTTATAATGTCTTTAGTAAATAAAAAAAAAAGTTACAAGTTCTATTTTTTGAGAAAGGGGAAAGATTATTCTTTTCAAGCAGTTAAAAATATACAGGATGGTCTATATAAAACATCTGAAAAATATCATACTCGTTTCCGGTATAACCAGAAAGTGCCAGGAGCTGATCTAAGGGGGCGAGGAAATTTGCTAAATTTAAAACGTGGGCTGATTTTTTTTTTCAAATTATATTTCAAGGGTAACAGGTATCAACTACTAGCATTATTAGTCTCTTAGTCGCCATTTTGATTACACTTTTCCATCACTCTTGGCACAGCGTTCATCTGTCATATCCTGTTGAAATTATTCTTTCTTATCAAATTTATTATTGTCACTGTCTCCTAGAGATATAAATTGACGTTAGTTTGTTACTTGATATTTATATTAGTCATTCTGTAGCTTTTACAAAATAAAGTTTTATTTTTACTCTGTGTCCCAATTTTATAACTGACAAGGTTATGGGCCCAGATCAGGCATAGTAAAATCAAAATATATATATATATATCCTTCATTCTCTCCACACCTCGTATACAAATAAAAACCAAAAGTATCAAATTTTATTACCTAGCTTGTCAGTGTCATCATAGACCATATTTTCGTTTAAAATGGACAAGTTATAATATTCAAAGATTTGATGGTTCAAAAAAACCAAATGGAAATAATATTTCAACCTGAAGGTTTGCTAGAAATTGTAAACTCAGAACCTCCAAGTGACGCTGTTTCTGAAGCTCAGAAGAAAGATTGGGAAGAATTGAATGATAGAACAATGTTAATTATATCAATTGCTATGGAATATGGTCAATTACAAACTGTTATTGCTTACAAGACAGCTCCAGCTATGTGGTCCAGATCAAAAATTATACATGAGCAGCGATCATCTATAAATAAGGTTAGCCTAAAACAAAAATTCTTGAACTACCAAATGCCAGATAATTGCTACGTAGCTACTCATATTAGTACCATTAAATTCATGAATCAAGCATTAGCAGACGTTGGAGAAGAAATTAAAGATATTGATACAATCGCAAAAATTCTTGGTTCTTTACCACAAAAATTTGTACCTTTTGTCACTGCATGGGACTCCTGTGATGAAAGTAAACAAAATTTTGATAATCTAACGTCCAGATTGTTAAAAGAAGAGCTTAGACTAGTGGTCGCCAACCTCTCAATGTGTTGAGCTACTTTGTTAATTTTGGAATAAACAGCGAGCTACCCATACGGAAGCCACGTAACGCAACGTAAATGAAATAATCCACAGTTAATTTATCATTATATGTATTTATTTTACTATTTAACTGGTAATACATAATACATAAGTACTAATAATAAACTAATAACAAAATAACTAATATTACTAGTACGTACTTGTTCATAGCTACATTCCTACCTACCAAACGAAGGTGTAAAAATAAACAAACTTTTATCCAGCCACAACGGCATGTCACGTAAGATTTAAAAATAGTTAATAATAACAACAACAAAAAAGTAACGCACTATCATGAACATAAACATTGAAAAATAAAAAAGCACGTTCAATGAGAAGGCTGACACTCAGACTCATCGATAATTTTTTTAATGTTTGCAGTATAATTTGATACAGCCATTCGAATACAATTATCCAAATTTTCATCTGTAAGTCGATTGCGATATTTGTTCTTAATAAACTTCATATTGGAAAAAGAAGATTCACACAAATAGGTTGAACTAAATAATGCTTTCACTTTCAAGGCAACACGGCATAGAACTGAATATTTGTCTTTACTTACAATAGGCCAGATACATTTGGTACTTGAGACTAACGATTTTAAGGTTAAATCATTTTGAAACTCAATTACTTCCATTTCTGTTGCAGTGATGTCTACGCCAAAGTTCTGCATAAACAAGTTGCAAACTGTTGAATATCAATTTCCATAAAGGGTGAAACAACAAACTGCGCTACTAAAGCCATTTCGTTGAAATCCTTAAAATGATTTTTGAAGTTATTCTTTAGGGTAGAAACTATTTCTACATGATATTTGCTGTCGTAGGGTTCTAATGGATTTTGAGATATTTTTTCTGAAAGAATAGGAAAATTCTTGGCATCGCTGTTAATTAGCTTTTTGATAAATGCTTTTATATAAGAAATCATTTCCGCTAGTTCTTTGTCTCTCCCCTGAAGCTGCAAATTAAGTTCGTTTATTTTCTCTGTAATGTCCACGAGAAAACCAAAATCTCTAAGCCAGATTGAATTTTCTAGTTCCGGAGTCGGTTCATCGCGCTGTTTGAAAACTTGAACTATGCCAGATAGGACATCATTAAAACGTTTCAGCACCCGTCCTCTACTTAACCATCGGACTTCAGAGTGAAGGAGTAGGTCCCCGTATTGACAGTCAACTTCATCGGCCAAGGTTTTGAATAATCTTTTTTGTAACGCTTTGTAAAGCTCTAATCTTGTTCACAATTTTTACCACCAGTTTCATAACGTTGTTTAGTTTCAGGAAATTTCCACATAATGCTTGCTGATGGATAATGCAGTGGTAACAGAGAAATTGCGGAAAAGTTTCATCTTTACGACATAACGCCACCAGACCCTTATCACAACCCACCATAGCTGGAGCGCCATCGGTTATCAAGCCTACCATTTTTGATATTGGAATTTTCTCGAAAGAAATAATATTTTTTAAATGAGAAAACAACTCCTGTCCAGTAGTGTGTCCTTTCAGTGGAACAAACTTCAAAAGATCTTCTTTAATCGTAAAATCACTAAAAACCATCCTGACGAACACGGCCATCTGGGCAGTGTCAACGACATCTGTTGATTCATCCTGTATATAGGGCGGCAAATTGTCTTTTTGTCCGGGGTGACATAAAGGCTAGAGCGGGCCCTGGTACCTGTTATGTCATTTATGATTTTTCATGTTTTTTGTTTAAACGATTTCTGCTTGAGCGAATTTATTTTGATAACAATCATTTTTTGTTTTTCATATTAAGGAATGAAGTTTGTTTCTATAATTTTTATACTGGTTTTTAAGTTCTAGAGTATATTTTTTGTGAGTTTCCTTTTTAGACAGTCTCTTTTTTATTGAAAGTATTAAACCTGTTGTTATCAAGGGTTTTAGTTTAATTGTCTCTAATTTGTTCTCGATTACCATTTTATAAGTTGCTGTAGTTTTCAGTAAAAACAAATAAAAGTTTCTTATAACTTTTAAACATTAAAACATTACCAAATAATTTTTTTTTAATAGATATTCAACCATAATTTGCGTACATACATTTTCGCAGAATATATTTTCAATGAAAACGACAAGCAAAAACAATTAAACTATTCTATAGCATGATTCACCTTGCTACCTAAGGATGGACTTTACGACAATAAAATTCATTATTTAGACAAATGATTAGTTTTTCTTCATACGTGCTACCCCTTCTACCATTTAATGTTAATCGTAATGATACATGTAAACCGAGGTCCATCCATATTTTTCGCATATAAATACATAAAGGTGTTACATTGGTACAGTAATTGAAAAGTCGTGTTAAAGATTACAGAAAAAAAAATGAAGTTAGCTTTAGTTTGTTGTGTGATCTTCTTAGTAGCTCTAGCTTCTGCTAGACCCGAGGGCGATAAATACACCACCAAATATGACAATATTGATTTGGACAATATTATTAAAAGTGATAGATTGCTGAGAAGTTACGTCGATTGCCTTTTAAACAGGAAAACGTGTACCAAAGAAGGAGAAGCTTTAAAAGGTAAGCGAATTTGGTATTTGAAACAGTGTCGGAACCAGCTATTTTGTCTCTATGAGTAAAAATTATTTCTCTTGCATACACATACCAAAAGAAACATGTCATAAATTATATGGTTGATAGCAGGATCGCGCCTAGCAATTTTGACATCCTTGTGCAAATTTAAAATAACGCCCCAAATTTGTATTATGTTCATGTAGAAAAATAATTTTAAAAAGTATTTTCATAAATTTATTTTTATTTTTATATTTTACAAGTACAAGCCATACAAGTATTTTCTTATTGAGGTACATAACATAATTATAAACTTATAGAAAACAGAAATATATTCTAACAGTATTACAACTCAAAATTTTTATATTTTAGTTTCAAATATATGATACAGAAGCACAAAAAATAAAAAAAAATATTTAAAACATTAAAAATACTCGTTTATATATCACAGGACGAAACTGATCGACAAATAAAAACAGAACAATATATTATTTTAATAATGCAACATGTCACCTTTTAAGGCCGGCGATCGCCCATGTTAATTTCCCGTATATGCAGAGGTTACTTTTGACGAAGCTTTCGGGAAAAGTATACTTCGTAGCATTAATTTAAATATAGAAATCAGTTCATGAATAATGCCTACGGGTTGTAAAGAAATCTAAAGAAGCAGAGTTTTTTAAAAATACTCGAAAAATGACTTTGATCCTTAGTGTCAAAATCACATAGAAACCCTCGACTTGTCGAAGTATTTACTTTAAAAATAAACATATTTAGACGTTTTCTTTTCGTTACCACCCGTACAACTAGCATATCAAATAAATGAAACAAATCGCACTTCAAAATAATGTTTGTTTTCCTAAAAGCTTGGTTTGAAATAAAAGCTAATTATTAATTCACCTAATCGGCTAGGGACAACGCAGATGAAAGATGATATACACCGTATCCAAAGCTTGTAGGATTCTGTACTGTAAGAACTTCAAGGTAATTTCACAGATGCCGCTTTAGAACATTAATCGTTGTTAGCCATTTGCATTACCGATGTTCTTGAAGCAGACAGGGCCGGAACAAATACAATTTTAATACCAGCGTTTTTGTATTTAATTAATTAAATAATTCGATATATTATTAACAAATGTGGTTGTTGCCCTTAAAAAGTATTTTTATTTCCTAATGAAATTTAATCCACTGCCATTTTTGGTAATTATTGGTTTTAATTTTAAAAATAAATACATACTCTAACTTTATAATACTGTTTACCAATGTTTAATATTTTTTAGGCTAAATTTATGTAATATGTTTTTTTTAAATTTTGATTTTGTTTTCTCTAAAAAAACAAACGTCTTTATAGAGATGTCTATTTGACATTTTTAATATATAATATCCAGGTATTAGAGATTGTTATTAATATTTTAGCTAAGTGAATTGAGCTTTTCGTGCTTTAATTTTTGCAAATTGTTTAATTAAATCTTCGGTATCTAATTCTTTTAGCTGGTCCGATTGTATTGAAATAAAAGCAAGATTACTTAGTCGGTTTTGCCCCATCTTAAATAATTTTTTATTATTTTGAGTTTTGAAAAAGATCGTTCTCCGGTAACAACCGAAACCGGCATTGTTAATAAAATACGAAGTATTATGCTCATATTAGGAAAAGAATCCACTAAGTTGTTAATTGTTATATAATTTAAAGTTTTTTCTGGAGACATAATAACGTTTTAATAAAAATTTTGTAAATATTGCAATTCTTTAACAAATTTTTCGGCAGTTATGTCTCGTTCATTGCGAGTTTTGTCACTTAATAAATTTTCAACTTTTTGACATACCTAATTCTAATTGTTCGTTTTCAGAATAACTTTTGAATTTATCAATATTCCATAAAAACGCGAAATTATTAGAGTAAGAAGAAAGTAACTGGAATCTCTCATCCACTGATGTTATGATTACATCTAGAGCAATAAAAAAATAATCAACTTTGAACTTTAAAGTTTCGTTGTGGATAATCCAGTAAATGAAGGAGGAAAAAAAGGCAAAGTTGGACTTAATTACGCCCTATTTTCATCTTCCGGTTTCAAGTAGCTTTTGGTACCTCATTAAACATGAAACAAAGTTTACGTGGAAAACGCGTGCGATGGCGGAGAAAATGGCCCCAAAAGACCAGAAAAATAGGTTTTCAGCCAATATCTCCTAAAATATGGCAGTTAGAGATTTTCGGTTCAGATAAAAATTGAAGTTCAGTTAATTTTCTACAAAAATGGCCCTTATGATTTTTTTCGCAACATTAATATTTTCTGCAAAAAAATCGGGTTGAAAAACCGGAAACCACATAGAGCGCACACACGACGAACGACGGGAGGAACGAAAGTAACAAATTATAGCGTGTACATTTAGATACACTGTTTTTTTCCCGGGGTATCAAAGCTATAACTTATATACATCGATGGAAAGGTGAGAATTCCCCCGTTACACTAGTTAAGAAGTTAAAATGTTAGAAATAAAGAGCAGGGAGAAAAAACCACCAAAAAAAGTGCGTTTTTTCCTTGAGCCTGCGTTTTCCAATTTTATTGAAAAATGGACGACTTGGTCAAAAAAAGTAATTACACAATCAAAAAGTAGACGTTCTTAGCTTTTGAATGATGTATCATAGAGACCAATCCGATCATGTATTAATTTTTAATTGATGGTTGTTCACAAAATTTCCCCGCGCTCCAAAAATAGCAAAAATTTGGGATTCAATAAACAAAGATTAAATGAAAATTCCAAAAAATTAGGGTATACAAATTTCACGGATTACAAAGGACCTTATGAGGACCCATAATCAAGAAAATTTTGAGGAAATTAGTTCAATACAAAAAAATAGGAACAAATTCCTGGCGAGGTCAAAATTGCCCGGGAGCAGAAAGTTTGACCCGTGTTCAGACATGGCCAAAAGAGTCAAGCGTGACTCAAGTCACAGGGTATGATAGCAGCAGCATTTCTCTTTCACATGAACTTTGAATCATGAGAAAATTTGCATTTTTAACAAAGTTATTGAATAATTTGTCCCCCCGCTGATGTGTAAATACACGAACTCCGGCATACAACACAGAAGCTGATTATTCAAGGCGCGCTTGGTGCCGTTTTTCTCGAAACCGGGCAAATTTTCGAGAAAAATCACTGAACTTCAATTTTTATCTAAACCAAAAATCTCTAACTGCCATATTTTAGGAGATATTGGCTGAAAACCTATATTTCTGGTCTTTTGGGGCCATTTTCTCGGTCATCGCACGCGTTTTCCACGCAAACTTTGTCCCATGTTTATAATGAGGTACCAAAAGCTACTTCCAACCGGAAGATGAAAATAGGGCGTAATTAAGTCCAACTTTATCCCTTTATTTATTGGACTATCTCTAACTTCTTGAAGGAAAAACTTTGACAAATTGTCATATCTTAAATGTTAATTTAGAAGAGTCAGTATTCGAACAAATCGCAGTCGATGTCGTCTTAATAATCCTGTCAAAACCTGAACAAACGAATTAATAACTTTATTTTCTAATTATTGTAGCTTATGAACAGTTTTTAATTTAAAAACGGTTGATAAACTATAAAAATCACTGCCTGTTTTTACATATATCGTTTGTTTATTTATAATCAACAATAAAACATTTATTGGAAATAATTTACCTTTGAACATTTATAACAACTTAAATTATATATTAAATAATGAGTACTTAACCAAGTTTCAAGACTAGATAATTGTTATACATTAGTTAATAGTAGCAGAACAGGAAATTATTATACATGGTGTTTCACAAGTAATATATACTATATTAATTGTAAGTAAGAGGCATACATGCATTTTTCAAATAATCTTTTATTCAATATCCAATATATAGATAGTGTTGTATCGATATAAACCATAATTTTCAAACCAACTCGTATATTTTGTTAAAAATAATTTAAAAGTAATATATAAAAATTTAAAAACAATTTCTTTTTATTGATGTGGTTACCTAAGACCGTTTGAAGAACTCTAATTGTACAAGGTGTTCGGTAAATATACCGACAAACTTTTCTTTGTGGTAGAGGACATCAAAATAAACATTGTTGTTTAATATGCATATGTCCAAAAAGCTTAATTTATTCATTTCCGATAATAAACTTGCCTTGAGGGCACGTCAATGAAAATTTTGGCAAAGTATTTCAACAAACTTTGAACATTTTTAATAAAATTGGTTAGAATTGATTATATATCGATTGTAAGACCTTGTATTTTGGATGCATTTTCGAACATTATGTTTATTAAGCTAAACATATTTATTTTGATCTCTTTTTACCACCTCTAAAAGTTTGTCGGTATAATTACGGTTCGCCCTGTATAGATGATTATATAATGAAACAGCGAAAACATATTTAATAAGTAATATTTTATTTTTGTATTAATTTCAGAAATACTTCCTGACGCATTGAAGACCAAATGCGAAAAATGTAGCGAGAAACAGAAAAGTGGGGCCAAGAAACTGATCAGATTCATGTTGAAGGAGAGGAGGAACATGTGGGATGAACTTGAGGCAGTTTATGATCCCGAAGGCATTTACAGGAAAACCTACGAAAAAGAACTAAAAGAAGAAGGCATTGAAGTTTAAGTTAATTTTATTTAATTTTACCTGCCATTAAAATGATATTTGTATTTAGACAATAATTGAAAATAAATATATTATAATTAATTACAATTTTGATTTATTTAAAAGTTCTCAAATACATTTTTTTATGAAAATTTCACACCGGGTATTATTCTTATTCAGTAAAATGCGTCACTAACCCATGTATGGGGTACCTTGAAATGAGTTATAACAACGGAAATGTTTTGTTATATTGGTCCATAGAATAATTGATTAATAATTATAATTTTCCCAGATTATTTGATTTAAAAATTTAACACATTTGAAGAGAAGTAAAAAATTATGTATTTTTTTTACATTTGACATTTAAAGTAATTCAAGTTTTCAATATTATAATAGTTATAATAATTATGAAAAATATACCACTATATCTATAAAGTGAAAGCAAGACTATCAAGACATATGGCGGTGTATTATTTAATAATTTTGTAGGAGGAATTGGGGATTATATATTTTTATATTTCCAAAATTGACTTTCAGTTTTTAGGATCTCTACCGATTTCCTCATTTCATTTTTCTTTGTCATTATAATAATTTTCATTACATTATGAATGTAACATATTGTATATTAAATGAACTATTAACTATATTATTAGCTAGCACCAGATTTCCAAATCAACAGTATAATTTCCGGGGTAAAGTCGAGAAGGCTTTTATTTTTTCAGTATACTTATTTAGGTCAAAATACAAAAGAATTGCTTCTTTTAGTTTTTTACTTTTCTACAGAATATACATTTTATCCAAAATTGTTTCAAACAAAAATTGTTCATCTTTACAGAGAGTAAGCATTAGGCCAGGCAGGAAACGAATAATATCAGCGTTGTAAGTTTATAAGGCCCGTGTTATTCGTGTTGTTTTTTTTTTATATAATATGGGTCCTAACACGGATCCTTGAGGTACTCCACAGTCAATCACTTTTTCACGACTGACATCTTGATGTTAAATAACTTTTAAATAATTTCAGAGTATAGTCTCTTATACCAATATCTTCTAGATATTGTAAGAGTAGATGATGACTGACAGTGTCGAAAGCTTTTGACAAATCAATAAATATACAGAGTGATGGCTTACCTCATTTAAAACTCCGGTAACTTTTGATGATAATGAAAGAATCGCATCTTCCGTGGAAATGTTTTCCCTAAATCCAAACTGATAATTTGAAAGTATATTAAATTTATTTAAGTAATATGTAAGTAAGCCTCTTTTTAATAATTTTCTCAAAAATTTTTGAAAGATGGCTGAGAATTGATATTGTCCGATAATTTGTAATTTCGGTTATTTCTTCTTTCTTAAATACTGGTATAACAATTGATTTTTTTAAAAACGGAGGGGTACACACCAAGACCTACACATTTGTTAAGAATAAAAGCAAGAGCATAGGCGCCGGAACTCAAAAATTGCTTTGGGTGCCCGGCCTCCATGGGGGATATCTGGCTTCCACCTTCCACAACTCCGCATCCCCCCCCACTGACGAACAGTGGCGCACCGTCTTGCTGGACTATTATACCTCCTATTTCCCAAAGGTGTCAACGTTTCGACTCCCAACGTCTCGACGCCCAACGTCCTGCCGTCCTATTCCCTACGTCTCGAACGCTGTCACATTCCTCACCATCTAAGTATTTCCGACCGTACACTAATTTCGACGCTCAACGTCCCACGCCTTATTTCCGACGCTTGCCGACCCTAAATAGTGTGATGGTCACCCCCCAGGCCCCCTTTTCCCTTTGATTTATTCGTTATTTTACTCTCGAATGTGTTTTTATTTATTTACCTCACAAGTTTTACTTTAAATTCTTTACTTACTGTATTTGGCCTTTTTCCTATAGTAGTAGAAGTGATCGTCTAGTTAATTAATTGATATTTTATGTACACACGTTGTGATAATGGTAATTAAGGTAAACCAGAATTCGATGCAAAGTTTGGTGCAAATTGATAAATAAAACATACAAATTCATATTTAATCTCTTTTTATTTTTCATACTTTAAATGTAATGCAAAGTATATTACAATTGTTACTATTTCCTGAGATCTCACTTGAGTCCCGTTCAAACGCAGACATATTCATTTGCTATCAATATATATTTTATTTGGGTTTATAACCAACGGAGTTAACGAACAACGTCAATTCGCCAGTTGATTACCTTACTATGTTGATTTCACATATACTTTGTTTCAAACCTTGTAGATTAATTGATTATTATAATTTCTATTGAAATAACTTAATATAACCCTTAATATTGATTTTTATAATTTCTATTAAAATAATCAAAATTTCACCCATCGAACACAGATGTCTATCCTGTATTTCGGGGTGTATGACCCGAAGGCCATGTGGTTTATTGATAATATTTTACAAATGTCAAGCCTGCCCCTAAACGAAACCCGGGTGATACCTCAAAGAAAGGTACATAAATCTTTTGACTCACCATTGAAAATACAGACATTAGATTATGTACTAATTTTATCTATCGTTGTGACGGCGTCGAAGTAGGTACGTCGCAGGGTTGGGCGTCGAGGCGCCCATCGTCGAGACGCCTAGCGTCGTGGTGGAAAGGAAGGTATTTAATATGGTATTGTATTGGGACAGACATACGGTAGAATTATATAGGTGGTGCGGGACGAGATATTATGAAGGAAATATTTAGGACGACAAGTGTCGGAAATAAGGCGTGGGACGTTGAGCGTCGAAATGAGTGTACGGTCGGAAATACTTAGATGGTGAGGAATGTGACAGCGTTCGAGACGTAGGGAATAGGACGGCAGGACGTTGGGCGTCGAGACGTTGGGCGTCGAAATGTTGACACCTTTGGGAAATAGGAGGTATAATAGTCCAGCAAGACGGTGCGCCACTGTTCGTCAGTGGGGGGGGGGGGGTGCGGAGTTGTGGAAGGTGGGGGGATAAGAGCCAGATTTCCCCCATGGAGGCCGGGCACCCAAAGCAATTTTTGAGTTCCGGCGCCTATGCTCTTGCTTACATTTTTAACAAATATGTAGGTCTTGGTGTGTACCCCTCTGCTTTTAAAAAAATCAATTGTTATACCAGTATTTAAGGAAGGAGAAATAGATGGTGAGGAATGTGACAGCGTTCGAGACGTAGGGAATAGGACGCTAGGACGTTGGGCGTCGAAACGTTGACACCTTTGGGAAATACGAGGTATTGTGGGATAGACGTCGTTTAGGAAGAGCGTTTAGGAAGGGTACAGACTATATAACTGGGTACAGACAATAAAGTGATTGCTTGAATGTAAAATAATAAAATGTATGCTTGCACATCAAATGATAAAAATTGAATGAATATGAGCTCCTTTTCGTTTCTGTGACGTCTCTATCGTTTTGGTTCTCATAGAAAATACGAATGTAGGTGCAAAAGGGGGTGGGTTATTTATTACTTGTTTTGAAATCTTTGTGTATTGAAATATTGTCGAAATCGGTCTAGAAATCGCTATTTTAAATTTAACAAAAAATATATACAAATCGCTGGACAATGGGAAACCTTGCTTATGCCTATTTATAGATTTAAGTAAGGCTTTTGACACGGTAAGTTATCCGTTGTTAATCCAAACCCTAGAAGATGTGGGGATCAGGGGAAACGTTCTAACTCTTTTTAAAAGTTATCTATGCACAAGAAACCAAGTGGTAAGAGTAGGGGATAACATAAGTGAAGAGGCATTTATTGAATATGGTGTACTACAGGGCACAGTCCTAGGGCCTATTTTGTTTAATCTGTATGTGAATGAGCTGTTTTACTTAGATACAACTGGTGAAATCATAGGATACGCAGATGATACTGCCATTTTTTATGAAGCAGACACTTGGCAACAACTCAAAGCAAAAGTAGACACCGACATCAAGGCAATAAAAAAATAGTTCGACCATAAGCTCCTAACAATGCATTTAAATAAGACCAAATTTTTACCTTTTAGTTGTAACGCTAGCGGAATAACAGACTTTCAACAAATTAACATTGAAATGAATGGAAAAAATTTTGGCATTAAATCGGTTGTCGAAATGAAATATTTGGGGATATATTTGGGTTGCCACTTAAGGTGGGATAAACATATTAATCAGGTAGTAAAAAAAACCCTCTAGGTATCCGACTGATGAATTGTATAAAATATCGGATATAATGGATTTGAGACAACTGTTCTATTACAATACATGCATTAAATACCATTCTAGTGACAATAAAGCACCTCATCCAGATCATCAGTACTACACCAGGCATCGACAATTACTTACACACCCATTGGTAAAGAAATCATTCTCACAGAAAGCCTATTCATACATTGCCACTAAAAAGTACAATACTATCCCTAAAACTACCAAAATGATACAAAACACAAGTACATTCAAAAAACACTTAAGAACATTTTTACAAAAGACACCAAGATCCTTTTTTTAATGCCTTAATAGATTAACTATATAAATAATTTTAATTGAATCCATTCTTAGCACTCCTTTACTAAATATATATTATATTTTATTCCTTATTGAATACTTATTCTAGTTATTAGTGTAAATTTTAAATTGTAAATCTAATTTTAGCTATTATTATTATTTTTAATTTTTATTAATTACTAACATTTTTAAATTTAAATTTTAATCATATTTTCTATTATCGATACTCTAACTTTATTTATATTTTGTATACACGTATTTTCTTTTTTCTATATTTTATTGTTCTCCATTTATAAATAAAGTTTCCATTATTATTAGATAATTCATTATTTTTTGAAAAATGTATGTAAAAAAGTTGTATCAGCTTAGAAACCACAAAAATACTTTCCAGAAACGTTTAATAGCATCCGTAATTATTATTTTCTTAGAAAAATTTACAGTCGCTTATTATACCTTCCCATCAAGAAGTACCTAGGCAATTCCCTAATCTTCCAATAGCCAGAAGATTGGTTAAACCCCATAAAGTAGCTAATTACGTGATTTACCAGTCTAGTCACTAATATTCATCAAAAACGAATTAAATAGTACTCAGCAAAAGTTATTAGCTTTTGAGTATAAAAGTCGAAATCAAAAAAATTACCCGCATTATTTCTAGAACTGTTTAAACTAGTTACATTTCAAAATGAATATTTTACTCTTCTGTGCTGTTATTGGCGCGTTTGTTTTCACTGTTGACTGTTACGACGAAAAATATGATAATGTTGATATTTACGAAGTTTTAAATAACAAAAGGCTGTTGAAAAATTACATGGGATGTGTTCTAAGTGAACCAGGAATCTCTTGCAACCAGCAAGGTACTATGTTAAAAAGTAAGTAGTAGTTTTTAATATATTTCTAAGAAGTATTGATTTATGTCTGTACAAATCGGTGAGTTGAGTATCATTATTTCTCTCTGAAAATGTTTTATTTACTTTGAAGGTAAATTTGTTTTCAAACCCAAAATATTCATAATCAAAGTACTGAAAGTCGCAACTAAGTCTTTTCATGACTATGTTATATAATAGTATATTCTGGAACTAGGTTTGAATGAAATTTCGATACTAAAGAAGGTTTTTGATCGAAAGCTTGGAAAACCACGAGTATCAAATTTTCATTACACCAGAGTAACAGACTGTACTTTCACCACGGCCACACACAGAGTAGAAGTTGAATAGAGTAAAATGAAACTTTGGGAAGAATTAAATAGTTTTTATTTAAATTATTTTAATAATTTGTCACTTTAGGAGGAATATTATCAAATTCTGTATAAAAATTATTATATTCGCCAATTTTACTGACAATTAGTTTGACAGAATTAACACTTATATACAATTTGGTAGATTTCATTTTTACTTTCCTATCTGTATACAGATATAAGGAAAGTATAGGAATCATGATTTTTTTCGACCTCGAGTTTTCGACGGATTTTTCGCCTTAAAGAGTTTAAATTTTTGCTAAAAATTTCAAGTCGATATCATTTTTCGTTTTTGAGTTAGGATTTTTTTATTGCAACCCCCTAACCTCCTATGTTTATTCATGGTCTTCGCTCCTGTATAGAGCTTGATTTTTCCTAAAAAAAATTCATATTAATATCACTTTTTGGTTTTGATTTTTGATATTTTTAATTTCACATTCTTTCAACCCCCCATTTTTAATCATATTATTTTAAAACCAATAGTCTTCATCCATATATGAAGCTTGAGTTTTCTAAAAATTTTATGTTGATATCGCTCTTAATTTTTTATTTATGATTTTTTTTTTAATTTCAACCACCCTAACCACCTGTTTTTATTCATTTTTATAGAAATGGAATTTTCTGAAAATTTCAAGTAGATATTTTTAATTATTGATTGAGGTTTTTTTTTAATTTCAACCCCTCACTTTTATTGAGATTTTTTCAAAAATCAATAGGCTTTGTCCCCTTATAGAGCTTGATTTTTGCTAAAAATTTCAAGTTGATATCGTTTTTCGTTTTTTTTTATATTTTAACCCCCCTTAACTCCTTATATTCAGATTTTCTTTCCTCTTCGTATAGAGCTTAATTTATACTAAATATTTCATGTTATTATCGCTTTTAGTTTGATTTATATATATATTTTTTAATTTTAACCCCCTCAACCCCCCATTCTTAAAGTATTTTATACTCAAAAATGAGAAAACAAAAATTTTAGTCATTGATACCAATGCTAAAGTCGATTTTAAAAATGTTTTTCTCTAAAATATAGTTATGTAATTTACCACATCAAAAAAGGTGTTTCGTCAATTATGCCCAACCCTGTATATACATGTAAAATACCGTTATGGGTTATTCTCTATACAGAGTTCACTCGGTTCGACGTCGCAGAGTTTCTATACGTTTCTATACGTTTCTATACGTTTCTATATATTTCTAAAACACTGATGGTGTGTGAATCCCAAATATTTTGGTCACAAGCCACCTCTGACTAAAAGCTTTAATAAAAAAAATTCTAGAAAAAAAGTGGGGAGGTGGTTCACATATTTATTCTTCTTCGCGCCAGCAGACAGTTCACAATTTCTCGAATTTTAACATTTAAACACATTATTTTTCAACCGTTTCCTCAGTAAAAAAATAAAATGCTACGATTTGCAAATGTAATAAAATACGAATCATAAATTTAGTACGTTTTTACCTATAAATTCATCAATTTAATCCTAATCTCCTACTATAGAAAATAAACTCCCCATACATTTGAGGGACAAAATAATAAATAATAATTAACTTTATTCTAAATAAGTGAAAAAAATAAATGTACCTATTTATGTAGATAAAATAATTGAAATTGGGGCTTATAATTAATAATTAAGTTCTAGAAATCTTTTTTTTCAATTTATTTACGAATTTCCAGAAAGAAAAATCAAACTTTTAATTTATTTGTTGGTCTTTAATTCTAATAATTAATTTTTTTTTAGAAAATCTACCTGACGCAATCCAAACTGATTGTAAAAACTGCACTGATAGGCAGAAAATTGGAGCTTTTAAAGCCATCGAGTACTTAATGAGAGAAAATTCCAGCTATTGGGACAAAATTCAGCAACGATTTGATCCACAAAATCACTTCCGCATGAGAAATATTAGACAAATCAATTATTGTACAACACATCGAAACAATTTTAATGATGCAGAATTTTTATCCCTATTCAATCATCGTTATTAAATTAATTATTTTATATTATTGTTAAATTCTTCAATTGCGTTTAAATATCGTATAAAATAAAATAAATTTTATAAAATAGTGTCTTTATAATTTTATTCACAAATATTTCTTTTTATAAACGTAGATTTTTCATTTGAAGGTAAGTTGTTTACATGAAGAAGTGTATTTTTATGATTTTTGTGTTTTTACAAAATAAAAAAAACTCTATTACAAAGATATAAAAAATTATACTAATATCGCAATAAAATCAGAAAAAAAAGCTTTTATTAACCACTGCTTAAAAAAATCAAAAACTACAAAAGAAAAATGGAGCACTTTAAAACACCTTCACTTAATAAGAAATATAATTCTGTTTGATTTTGACTGCAATGCAGATAATATTAATAATTACTTTCTTGATACTGTTGGAAAAGATAGTACTATTTCTCAAGATCTTGTTCGTTATTATGAAAACAATCGTCAACAAAACTTCCCTAATACTTTTAGATTTACTCCCGTTACTGAAAATGAAATTAGCAAAATAATTATTAACATAACAAACTAAAGCTAGAGGAACAGATGATATAGATATAACACTTATAAGATTCACGTGTCCATTTATACTGCCATATCTACGCAATATCATAAACTACTGCTTAACTCTTTCTGTGTTCCCAGATCAGTGGAAAGTAGGTAAGGTAATTCCAATCCCAAAAATACAAAACCCCACTAATTTAAAAGATATACGACCAATCACCATTCTTTCAACATTTTCTAAAATAATTGAAAGGGTCATGGAAACTCAACTTCGTACCCACTCCCTGAGGTGCAATCGGGATTTAGGCCGGGATATAGTTGTGGTAGTGCATTGCTAAATATCACTGATGACATTTTTAGGGAACTAGATAAGGGAAATGAGGGAGCACAATAGTCATACTGTGCCAGTGGCGTGCGGTGACATTTTTGGAAGGGGAAGCGATTGTATAAAAATACAGCAGGCCAATAAGTTACCTAGTTTAGTACCAGAAGCTATAAAAAATGTACCATTGAAAAGCTTCCTTGGTTTATTTAAACGTAAAAAAATCATTTAACTGAAGTTTTTTTTTATTTTTTCCAGCATTTTTTGCACAGTTGACACAGCAGTTGACATTTATTTATACTATATATATAAAAATGAATCCCTATTTCCCTTAGTCACGGCATCACGCGTGAACGGCTGGACCGATTTCGCTGGTTCTTTTTTTGTTGTGTTTGTTATTGTCAGGAGAAGGTTCTTATGAAAGAAAAAATTAAGAAAATTACGCGGCAAATTAGAAAATTTCTATATATATATAAAAATGAATCCCTATTTTCCTTGGTCACGGCATCACACGTGAACAGCTGGGCCGATTTCGCTAATTCTTTTTTTGTTGTGTTTGTTATTGTCAGGAGAAGGTTATTATGAAAGAAAAAATTAAGAAAATGGCGCGGACAATTAAAAAATTTCTGTATATATAAAAATTAATCTCTATTTCCCTTGGTCACGGCATCACGCGTGAACGGTTGGACCGATTTCGCTAATTCTTTTTTTGTTGTGTTTGTTATTGTCCATAAAGCATTAGAATAATAAACACTTTGTATCTGAAATACTTTTTAGTTAATTATACCAATTCGAAATCAATATTCATAGTTAAGACAGCACAACGTCTGTCGGGTCCGCTAGTGTTTTAATAAATTTAGATCTTGTCCTTCATTCAGTTGGAAACATATTTTGAGATCTGCAGAGACGTCAGCTATTTGTTTATTTGATCTTGCCTAGTTTCCAGTTACTTCTTTTATTGGTAACATGTGGACTATTGGACGTTTAAACTTCCTGTATACTTACTTTCTACAGAGAGTAATCATAGTATATTAGTCAGTTTTCTGAAATATGTATCTATTGATTCATATAAAGAAAAAAATTTTAAATTTAAAACCCTACCCCACACATTTAGATTATCTTTAAAAGTTTGCCACCTATGACATATTAGTAGCATTAAACGTTCTTAAATAAATTTGTATTCATAGCTCGATTATGTCCCTTACCTTGAAAAACGGTGAAATATTTTTAATAATTTATTACAAATATCTATTAAGATATGTGACAAAACTATTAAGTATTCATTTATGAAATTGAGTGAATAACCAACACCTACTTAAAGTCATATAATTAAAAACCTATGTGTTGTTGATTATATTTTGGGATAATTATTAACTTTATACTATGGAGGAAGAATCGTTTATGATCTATTAGACCGTCAGATAGTGACCGATTTAGGATCCCCATTTTCGTATACAAGCTTCGAAAAGGGTTGAATAGTACATCGATGTTAAGTAGAATTAAAAAAAATTTACGACTGGCTCTTGGGGATAATATATGAAAAAATCGATTTTCCTCATCAGAACAATTTTCCGACCCCAAAATGCACTTATACATTCGATTCATTCAAGAAAATGTTTTTCGGCTAGTGACGACGTACGTTTTCATACATTCGATGGACTTGTGTAGAAAAATCGGGCAAAATCTCTATTTTTCCTTAGAATATTACGCCCTTATTTCAACCCTTTAGCCACTTGCAACATTGAAGCCTTTGGTTTTCCGAAGCCTAGTTCTATTAATTAATCATATAGTGAAAACGGCTTGCGTAGAAAAATGGGCAACAAATAACCTTTCGTTTTTGTTAGGGAAAATCGAATTTTCCATGTGTTATCCCCAGCAGCCACTTGTAAATTTCCTTTTATTCTACTTAAAATCGATGTACTTTTCAACCCTTTTCAAGGCTTGTATGCGAAAATGGGGCACCTAAACCTGTCACTATCTGACGGACTATATATACTGTATAGTTTATTTTAATGTATGTATACTAATTTATTTATTTATTTATTTATTTATCAGCACTATTCACACTCATACATCTAATTTATATAAAAATTACTCGAATGTCATCTTCAACTGTATTTCGACATCGTTTGACTTACCTCCACTGCAACACAACCCATTATAAATAAAATGGTGTATGCTCCAGATTATTTTCGCTCCCACCATTTATTAGACTGGTGTCTCCGGCAATTTCTCAAATATGCATTAACTAAATTCGTCATCGTTCTAGTGTATCCTATGAACAATTTACTACAACTTGCAATAGGCGTAGCACCGGGGGTTGATTTAGTTATTTAAATATTTAGTACAATCGAACTAATTTTAATTAGACGCAGAGGGACTTAAAGGATAAGAACATAACCGGATTAGTCGGAAGTGGCTCGCATTACAATACTGACTATTTTTAACGTGTCTTCCAGTTACCAAGACAGGTGAATCAAGTAGATAAATGTAAAGAATGTGTATTTCATTCTCCCAATTGGGAGCGGGTCACTATATTAGGCTTTCCTGGACTTATCAGTCGCACTGGAGAGATCAGGGATCTGATCTAAAGGCTAAGGGAATAAGGTGGTCACCTTAGGCCAAAGTAGGGTGTTAACTGCACATTTTTTAAAGCCTGCAGAACAATGGTTTGACCGTGGTTTCCATGTTCTGCATGGGTTAAAGGCAGATTCCACCGTTATGTTAAACGAAGCAAAGATTAAAATGAGATTTTTAATGTAAAAAGGTCATTTTAAACTTCGCTTAGTAATTTAAACTTGGTTTAATACAACGGTGGAATCGGCCTTTAGGTATCCAAGCCCCTACTTTTTATGCATGCTCGAAACAATCCCCTCTCAATTTAGTATGCATCTCTTTTTCTTGTCGCAGCCGATGCGACCTTAGAACATATATGGTCAAGAAGGAGTATGCCATGTCCGCGTTATTCTAATCGATCTGACGAAAGTGGTAGTAGCCATGTTGTCTCATCATCATAATATGATAAATGGTTTCTAAAATTGGTTTATAATTTTAGTGATTAAAATTTGTTAATAATTTGGATGTTTTGTGTGTTAATTTAAACTTCTATCAAGCGTATGTTTTGTAGACATTTTTAAAAAGTTTTTAGTGTTTTAGTAATAATTTAGTATTACTGTTAATTTTAAAATTTCCGCGTTAAAAGACAAACAAGACAATATGGTCAGTTGTTCGTCTTGTGGATATAGCAGCACAGCTAAGAGTATAAAGGAATAATCTACATTTCATACGCAAGTATTTTGTTCTCACATTAAAGATTTTTAAAATTTTTAATGTTTTAAATTTGTAAACAGACATGGTAAGTGCGTCTGCGCTCTACTGTGCTCATAGGCGTAGTCTCATGAGAATTCATTATTTTCTTTTCTACGCCCCTTTATGACAGTACGTCACTGGTAGACCGGAAACACTTGTCGCCATATTCGTCTGATTCACTGTCAAAATTAGATACCATCGCGATTCCAAGGTCGTTTAAGATTCCTCCTTCCTGACTATATATATTCTAAGGATGCGACAGTTCTGTCTGTCTAAATACTTATAAAACACGCTGAATACTTGCAACTTGCAATGAATGAATGAATAGTCTGCTAGTTTTTCGTCGTCGTTTTCACCATTATAACGTCTGTTTACATCTAGAATATACTTAATATAACATTATAAAGATTTATCGAAATCCGGTACTCAAAGTAGTGTTTAGAGTCAAAGGAACTACAATTTTCGAACGTCCTTCGATCTTAGCTGTCAGTTGTCATGTCAAATACGCTCTCATATGTCAGTTGTCTTACTTGTCACGTCATAATTGTCATAAATTATAATTTGAAAGGTCAAGGGTTTATGTTTGTAAACAAATTGATGAAAATTTAATATTTTTCAAGAAAATTATTTATTTCATTAATTTACAATGGCCGCCTTACCACCGCGAAGAAATCCTACACCCACAAAAATATCCAAGCAACATTTAACACCTTTACAAACATTATTACAAATGGGATTTCCTAAACATAGATCGTATGTAAATAGTAATTTATTAAATGAAGTATTTTTTATTCAAAATTATCACTTTTTTAGTATGTTCTTATAAAAATGTTGAAGATAATTATGTATTTAAGATAAATTACATTATATTTCTAATTTTATTGCAGTAATATTCTCAATTTTATATTCTTTTATTTTTATAGTAAATTTTGTTTCTAAACAGTTGTGTTAAAATGACTTAAATTGAAGAATAATTGCCTTAAATTGAAGAATAATTGCCTTTAGATAAATTTCAACCTAACATTATGTCTTTTAAACATCATAAATAGATATTAAATTAGTAAAACAAATTTCTTTTTGTTTTTTTTTCTCGAAATATATCTTTATTTTAGAGAAAAGGCATTGGCAGCAACAGGCCATAGAGGTGTTCAACTGGCCTCAGATTGGTTATTAGCACATGTAAATGATCCATTACTAGATGATTCATCACCTAGAGAATATATTTTGTATGCTTGTCCAGTAGGAAATTTTGCACAACAACTTCAAACGTATTGGGACAAGTCTTTAGCTCTCTGCGGGTGGAATGGAGCTCACAATTTCACCCCACATATAACATTAGTTTCATTTTTTAAGGTAAATAATTAGTCATAGTTTTGGTAAGGGAAAAGGTACAATATAATAAAAAAATAGATTCAATACTACCCAAATACTAAATTAAATACTTTTATATGAAATATCATCAAATGATATTGCAAAATAAAATCGAGTATACAGATCAATAACAACTAATATTTGTATACACATTCAAATAGTTCATGATTATTAATCAAGAAAATAATCTATTCAAATTGATTCGATTAATGAAGACATTGATGCTGCTAATATAACAAATAAAATTAATTTAAATGAGAAATTCCTAAATGTCTTACATTTCAATATTAGGAGTATTAAAAAGAATTTTGATGAGTTGTTAGTATTTCTAGAAAGTTATAAAATTAATTATTGTGATATAATAGTTTTGACTGAATGTTTCCAATTAGAATCTATTTCTCAATTTAACCTAGATGGCTTCACCACCCACTATAACAATGGTAACATTAACAGAAATGATGGTGTTGTAATTTTGGTCAAGTCAAATTTAAATGCAGAATTAAATATAGTTAAACTGGAATATTCGGATATTTGTGTCACTAAAATAAATCTAAAAGTCAATCATCGGACCATTGGCATTACAGGTGTATACAGGTCTCCTTAAATCCCTGCACAAGCATTTATAAGGGATTTAGAAAATTTCATACCAAATCACCTAAATAGAAATATTTATAGGGGACATTAATATTGATCTCCTAAATGTAACCAATCAAGTAACTACTGATTACCAAGCAACTTTTTACTCCCATGGTTTCATGTCTTACATAAACACTATTAGGAGGCCACAAAGTAAAACATGCTTGGATCATATATTCTTAAAAAACAATATTAAGACTGAAAATCTATCGGTGAACTCTTATGTAATCAGCTATGATATGACTGATCATGATCCTATTATGATCAGGGTTACCAGATTTTTGAAAGTGATGAGGGACAGACAGGGAATTTTAGGGGAAATAGGGGGAAGTAAAAACAACTCTTGTCTATTTTCATTTTTTTAATCAAAATTACTTATTTTGTAAAAAATCCGTACCTATTTTTTGGTAAAGATAGACTGAGGTGTTTCAAATAATAAGGTGAAAATGTTGGATTTCGATTTGCCATTTCTCGATTTTCTAACCTTACATTTTCTCCTTATTATTTGTTAAATCACCTCAGTGTAACTTTACCAAAATTAGGTAAGGATTTCTTGCAAAATAAGTAATTTTGATTAAAAGAGTAAAAATAGACTGAGTTGTTTTTACTTCCCCCTATTTCCCCTAAAATCCCCTGTCTGTCTGTCATCTCTTTCAAAAACCTGGTAACCCTGATTATGATAAATATCTCACAATCTGCCAAAAACTACACAATACTACAATACATATAAAAGTATAACTATATTGATACTGATAAATTAAAACAAAAATTCAAAACTGTAAACTGGGAAAGTGTTTGCAATGAAAATAATCCAGAAATTGCAACACAACTTTTTTATGACATGTACCTTAATATCATTGAAACATGTCAAACCACTCAAAATATTAAAATTAAAATCCTTAAAAAAATAAAGCCATGGATAACAAATGGTTTAATTAATTCTATTAAAACTAGGGATAAACTTAAAAAAGATCTACAAAAAAACTATACTATTAACAAACAAACTCCATGTAAAACATTTAGAAATAATTTAAACAAACTAATATCAAAAACTAAATATGACTATTATAACAATAAAATAAACCAAAACAAAAATGATTAATCTCTAAAGCAACTAATGCAAATCATAAAAAAAATAATACCAATTTACAGATTGTTAACCAACATAATGAGGAATTTGAAAATGATAATGAAATGGCGAATTACTGCAATAACTACTTTTCGACTATTGGCACTAATATGTTCACAAATATCCCTGAATGTAATGTGGATTTTCCTGTGTCACTGAAAAATCAATGTTTCTGACACTGATATGCAAAAACGATATTATAAAACACATAAATAGTTTAAAAAACAATAATGCCCTGGGATTTGATTGTATAACAGTAAAACATCTGAAACTACTACATCCGTATTTACTGGAACCTTTAATGCATATAATTAATTCTATTTTTAATACAGGAATCGTATCTAAACAATTTAAAACTTCAATTATAACACCTATTTATAAAGCTGGTAATCCAAAATTAATAACTAACTATAGACATATTAGTTTATTTAGTAATTTGGCCAAAATATTTGAGAAATGTGTGAAAGACTGATAGATTTTTTAAAAACTAATGACTTACTTCCCAAGCACCAATATGGCTTTACTGAGGGTCTTAACTTAGGAGATGCTATGCATGAATTGATTTCATATGTTACTGATGAAATGAATACTGGTAACAAGTGTATAGCTATATTTCTAGATCTAGCAAAAGCATTTGACATGGTGCCACATCAGAAGCTCTTAAATGTTCTTGAACAGAATGGAGTGAGGGGCATCGTGTTGAAGGTTTTTGAAAAGTATTTGACACACAGACAACAGAAGGTAAAGGTCAGGTCAGAGACAATGTGAGTAACCCTGAAAATATACAAATCGGAGTGCCTCAAGGGACTGTTCTGGGACCTATACTATTTAATTTATACATTAAGAGCTTAACTCAGATTGATATTCAAGGTAAAAGTTGTATCATATCGCACTATGAGTACAAGACCACCATAACTCAAAAACAATCAACTGAGAAAATGGCGTTTGAAGTTTTCAGATTTTTTATTTTACAGTTTTTTAATTGCTATCTATTACATTTTTATTTATTTGGATTTCATGATTCTTTAAACCCTCATTTATGACTTTCTCTTTAGTTATTAAGCAAAATTTAATTGACAAATTGTAATAAATTGTCAGTAAATAGAGTTATGTTGTTATTGCACTAACTTTATTCATGCTATTGTGGAATATTTGCCAAATAAGGCAGCTTGACTGTGGGGTTCCTTGAAACTATTTAACAAAGCTGGCCAATCAAAAACTTGAAATGTGACAATTTGCTTTGGAAAGACATTATACAGAATGTCCATCAGATTTACTAGGGATTAAACATTTCAAGAAACCGACAGTAAGTACAATAAAATTGTTTAGCACCTATTATCTGTAAAGTAAAAAGCTAATTAAAAAATTCTCTTCTAACATAATCTAACATTTCTAGGATTATTGCGACACATGAGGATTATCAAGAATGTAATTTTTTAAAAACAAAAAAATTAAAACTGTTTGTTTGGACGTAAATATAATCAAAATATCTTTTAAATAAGGTAATACATGACTTTACTTTCCATTAGAAAATTTAAAGATAGTAGCGCCCTCTATTTTACATCTCAAGAGCATCTCATTATAACAAAAATATAATGTTTATTTAATTTCACATCGTTTTTGTTTTATGTCTCTATATTCTTGTATTTTCAAAACATACTACAAAATGCTTTCATTTGACATCGCAGGATTGAATTAGAAAAATTCTAACTTCCAATTTAACCTATTCCCCCCCTCCCCAACTGACTTACAAGACAAAGTATTTTCGTTTTTAGTTAACGCCTAATCTGGGCCACTTATTACTTCAAATTTCAATTGTAAAACGACTGTGACAGACGGAAAGACATAAGTGTTTCTTATTGCCAAATTTGGGTACTAATGCGCAAATTACTTGAAAAATTCTTTGTTTTTGTCTTACAAATTTTATCGTTTTTTCCTGTTTCGTCTTTTTCAAATTTAAATTTGATATTGTTTTATCACGAGAGAAACGAGACGAGAGAAGCGCCTTCTCGTCGAGACGAGAGAACAGTTTTCTCTCGTCAGACGAGACGAGAAAAAAAACAGACGTTGAATTTTTAGTTTAATTTTTTTTTTTAAATTATCAAATACAAAATAACTAAGAAAATATTTTTTATATAATTTTTTACGTGATACTGAAGACAAAGACTTCTTCTGAGGTGGCACCAGACTTCTTCTGAGGTGGCACCAAAGACTTCTTTTGAGGTGGCACCAAAGACTTCTGAGGTGGCACTAAAGACTTTTTCTTTTTGTGGTAAAACCAACAAATTTTGAATTAGGTTGCTCTTGCAATCAACTAAACGCGTACGCGCATAATAACTGTAACGGGTTTCTGCAAAATTTTGACTTAGGTTTGTCTTGCAGTAAAGAATATCTTACAATATTATTTAAGAATAGAAGAATGTAAAACATATTTTGACTTATTGTAGTCTTCATTTAAAGAGGTGGCTAGTTTAGTTACTTATAATACTTTAAAACTAAATATGTTGGTATTGTATTTCTGCATTTTAAAAGTTCAAGAAGGAACAACAATATTTTTAGTTATGTTGATGTTGTATCAGGAAAAGTATTTTCAGGAAAACTTCAATAGTAACACTTCTGTTATTTATAGAATATTCTTTCGATTTAGAGATATGTTGGTATTGTATTATCAAAGTTAGCATCTATAACACCGCACAAATCTCAAAATCGATAAATTTTGAGTTATGGTTGTCTTGTACTCATAGTGCGATATGCTGATGATACAGTGCTAGTCTTCAGTGATAAATATTGGGAAGCCGTCAAGACACGTGCTATAGCTGGAATGGAACATGTCAAAAACTGGCTGGATGTTTTTAAATTGTCTTTGAATGTTAACAAAACAAACTACATTGCTTTTTTAAAGACCTCAATTTAGAAGCTTAACATGTCAAAATTTAGACATACAGGTAACAGAAACATCCAGCTTATAAATTGGGACTGCCATATAATATATATATATAGTAAAAAAAACTTAGATTTCTGATTTATAAATTTTATCTTCTAAAACAATTTCTCAACCAGGATCTACTAATAACATTATACTACAGTCTAGTAGAATCTATACTACGGTATGGACTCTTAGTATGGGGAGGCCTGTATGGAACTACTTTAAATCAGTTAAATGTTATTCAAAACAAAATCTTTAAGTTAATATATAAAAGAGATAGATTGTGCCCCA